TACGATTTTTTTATTATTGTATGCCGAATCATATACATTGCGAGCAATGCACGGGTGCATCGAGAACAATAAAGAACCCACAAAATTCATCTGTCGTTTACCATAGTATACGTTGTTTTTAATAGTCATCATCAGCTCAAACCAATTAACCGCAGTTAATTATTACAACCGTGTCAAAATAATATACCAATGGTTCGTGTAAAAAGACTCGAAAACAATTACTACATAGATACCAGAGCTATATGTAAAACCAATCAACTCTTATGTTGTACTTTGCACGGAGACATTGTTTCAACCGTGACAACAATGATGTTATGCATGCGTCATTTTGCACTAAAAAAAAATAATAGAAAAAACTAATCACCGTCGTAACTCAATAGATTTTGATTCTTCTAACATGTATAAGGTTTAACTGTAAACGGTTATCGAAAAAGTATATTAAAACAAAGTCAATACTCATTAAATAAATATTTTGGCCAGCTGTCTAATCAAACGTGATGAATTTTAGCTCATTTTTTCGAATAAATTTAACATGATTACTTGGTCCAATTGAAAATAATCATTAAAATTATCTGAACCGAGAGGAATAAACTTTAGTACAATTAAATTCATTGCGGTTTATACTAAAAACAATAGTTTACAAATGCAACGAATATTTTTGTTGGTAATTTGTGGATTGCTTTTGTAGGTTCAACGAATTAGACTTTATATGCATTTTGATTTGTATACAACTGGTATTATACAATTTGAATAATTTAACTCAATTGCCATACATACACATATCTAGAAAGTATTTATTTTATGTTGTACACTGTTGTGAGCAATATTATGAGTTTTTTCGTTGATATTATATCAAAATAATACCTAATGTATTATTTCTGTATTTTAACATCGGTGTAATTTATCTTAATTTTTTGCGCCTATATAAATACATAGCCACGTAACAATCATTAAAAAGAATAAATCGCATAATTTACTCTCAACCGTCAGTACATAGCACAATGTTATATTTGCATGTATTAATAAGACTTAATCGGAGCGTGAATATAAGTATTCTACTTGATGTGTCTTTATGAAGTAATAGCTTATGTAGACTAGATTGCTTAGGTTCTAATGAAACGTGCTGTAACTAACAGATTAACACAAGATCTAATATTGTATCGTGGTCAAAAGTAAACTTATATGTGTTCATGCAACATGTTATAACTCTTACTTACTACAGCTGTAGATCAATTGATTATAAAATGTGGCGTTGCGGATTCAAATTATAGTAACACGTTTATATATTCTATATTATGGCAATTGTGTGTATTATACTAGACATAAAAAATGCTTAACTGCATGAGTTTGGCGTGTTAATAAACCATATGCAGACGTATAGTCACTATACGTTTGCAATATATCTATACATTTATTACTTAATGCTTTTACATCAGCGTATGTTTGTGTCATAATTAACTTTAGTCAATGTTTCAACTTACAAATCGTAATCGAATATAAAACTATTTTTATCTTATAATGATGATTCTTATGTTGATCAGTCATTGAAATCGTTGATATGTTAAATGTACTAAGAAACTTAAGTAGCCATTGAAATTCAGAAATACAAACAGTTTTACGAAGTTACGATAATGTTTAAAATTGAAGAGGCCATAAAAATACACAAAATATATAGTCATAGATTGCATAAAAATTAAAAAATCCATAGAAATGCACAAATTCGAGAAGTCATAAAAATGCACAAATTCGAGAAGTCATAGAAATGCTCAAATTCGAGAAGCCATAGAAATGCACAAATTCGAGAAGCCATAGAAATGCACAAATTCGAGAAGCCATAGAAATGCACAAATTCGAGAAGTCATAAAAATGCAAGAAAATTAAAGAAGCCATAGAAATACGCAAATTTGAGAAGTCATAAAAATGCAAGAAAATTAAAGAAGCCATAGAAATGCACAAATTCGAGAAGCAATAGAAATGCACAAATTCGAGAAGTCATAAAAATGCACAAATTCGAGAAGTCATAGAAATGCTCAAATTCGAGAAGCCATAGAAATACGCAAATTCGAGAAGCCATAGAAATGCACAAATTCGAGAAGTCATAAAAATGCAAGAAAATTAAAGAAGCCATAGAAATACGCAAATTTGAGAAGTCATAAAAATGCAAGAAAATTAAAGAAGCCATAGAAATGCACAAATTCGAGAAGCAATAGAAATGCACAAATTCGAGAAGTCATAAAAATGCACAAATTCGAGAAGTCATAGAAATGCTCAAATTCGAGAAGCCATAGAAATACGCAAATTCGAGAAGCCATAGAAATGCACAAATTCGAGAAGTCATAAAAATGCACAAATTCGAGAAGTCATAGAAATGCTCAAATTCGAGAAGCCATAGAAATACGCAAATTCGAGAAGCCATAGAAATGCACAAATTCGAGAAGTCATAAAAATGCAAGAAAATTAAAGAAGCCATAGAAATACGCAAATTTGAGAAGTCATAAAAATGCAAGAAAATTAAAGAAGCCATAGAAATGCACAAATTCGAGAAGCAATAGAAATGCACAAATTCGAGAAGTCATAAAAATGCACAAATTAGAGAAGCTATAGAAATGCACAAATTGGAGAAGCTATAGAAATGCAAAAAAATAAAGAAACTTTAGAAATGCATAACAAAAACAATTTAGTACCATATAATTCATAGATATATTGATGAATATACTAGAAATGATTGCTAATATGCAGGCGTGTAAAATGATTGCATTTATAAATTTTGTTAGGTAAATTTGAACACACAATCAGCCTGTACAAATTTTCATTAATTGACTTCAAAATTTAGTGTATTGTATTCCTTCCGATGTTATAGTTTTTGAGAGATTAGAAGGGTTAATTGTCTTTTAATACCAAAACTATTTCTGCGTTACTATAATCCTATAATAAAGTTGTATAAAGTATCCTTCAAACAAAATGTATAAATATATGAAATTCACAACCTTGCTAACATGTAAAGCTAACATGTCTATGAATTTGACGTTTTACCAAATACATTAAATATGTTGTCCTACAATTCCATTCGTTGCGTTCAATTTTAGATCACAAGTCATCACTACGTGTAAATATTATTGGATTGGTTTCAAAATTTGCAATGATCATTTTTATAAAAGTTTTAATAATCACATCACGGAAGTATTTAAAAATTTTGTAAAATAGCTGGTACTTAAAATCAATATAAATAATAATTTTTTAAAAAGTTCAGCATGAATTTTAGACGAGTTTTAGTTTTTTCTAAAATGATTAGTTATTTTTTCAAATTTTCTCGAATATTCCAAATTAATGTTATTTTTGAAATATTCGCCTCGTGTATCATAAAGCAACATCGCTATGAATTTTGCTCTTATCTATACGACTTTGTTTTGCATGTTTATTTTAAAAATATGTTTTACAAAAGTTATTGTTCAGTTTTATAATATTTTGGCATTAATTAAGATTTCTTTGTTTTCTAATTTTCCCCGGAGAATTCTCTATTTACTGTAAAAATATTAAGACAATAAAAATACCATTGTTTTATCATCTAGTTATACTGTAAATACTGAGGCCATTACATCCCGTCGAACTTTTTCCGCACTGATTATAACCGGACAGTTCTTACGATCTATTGTTTCGTTCCTGTCGTTTTTCGGTGTAACATCTCACAATTTCTCATCCGCAAATTTTGTTATTCATTAAAAATTGCAAAAAGTTCTGAACTATTGCATAGACGAAAAATTTTAATTATGCAGGCTCCGCATGACGCTAACATAAAGATAAAGAGTATATATTTTAGTTTTTGAAGGTAGAACTGAATAATGTCTATAATGATAAGCAGCAACAGGTATGTAAAAAACGAAGCGTATCGCAGTCAAATAGTACTGGATATTGTTTGCTTCGTGATCTGTAAAAAAAAAAGAATTATATATATATTTGATGTACATAGCACTTCTCTAGCTCTCCTACCCTATAGCAAAGCATCATTACCACTGGTCCGGAACGATCGAGTAGTTGTGATTTTCATTGATTTTTTAAGTTATCGTATAATTACTAACGCAGCCATCAACTGTGTGCAACTCACGAAATTTCGTTCCTTCAACCACACGTTACCAATGTAGAGCATAGTATTATGCACGTGCAAAGCTCCTTAATGACAATATAAATACATGTTACTGTATTACAGATTACACAAACGCATTGAATGTTAGCGGTATAACTTGTGTAGAAATGGTAAGAGTAAGCAATCAACGGTCATATTCGACCATTGGACGAGCCACTCTGTATTAAACCGTTATACTACAGAAGAAAAAACAATATTATCATTAACAGATTAGATACCGTATTTCAATAATAATTGAAACAAGAACATTTACTAGATAAAATATTAGAATCTAATAGTATTGAAGAATAATGTCATTAGAGTAAACTTAAAATGACTAAAAATTAGTTTTAGTCAAATAACCAAATTCTACATAAATTATGCTTTAAAATTCTATGCTTCTAAATTGTCAGTGATTCTTTTAATACATTCTAATAATAATTTATTATTTTCTCTATAAAGTAAAGCTAGTCATAGTGTCAGGGGCGTATGTGACACTTAAATTCGGAGCAAGGACGTTTGCCCCTATCGCCCCCCTCAAATACTCCATTACTCCATTGAACGATCTCGTGTAAATTGTTTGCGTCCGAAGACAACATCATTTTTATACCACTAACGGTTTCATTACGCCAGAGTTTATTGAAAGATCACTTTTTTTAAATGAAAAGGTCATTTGTTCCTTTACGTTCATCGATTCAAGTGATGGTCCCCTTTTGTCCTCCTAATTACATTTTTAAAGCTAGAAGGTAATTCAATCCAAAAGTTAAACGTTGATTAAATAGACACTAAATTTAAAAACAATTGCTACGAATTAAATATAATTATATAAAATGTTTTTATCGATTACTACAAATTTGTCATTTTTCTGGTATTTTTTTAGAAAATGTCGGGCGAGAGGAACATTCCGCACCTACGGGACATATTCGGCGTAACTGACGATATGCGCCGTATGGATGTGAAAGGCGATGACCGCAACTCTTTGGGTGGCATCAGTGCGGCTGGCACGGACAGTGCCATTTCCGTTGGTTCAGCGAGTGAAGAGGATCTGTTACCAATGAAAGCATCAAAAAAAAAACAGCATAGGCATAGGCAAAGTGGTCGGCAGTCAAAGAACAATGGCGTCATAGAAGACGATGTCAAACATTTGGAACGGCATTTGTCCATGAAAAAGACTATAAGGAAAAAAATTATGAGGGATTTACAACAGGCATTTGTCGAAGATCCAGACGAATTTAAAGTGGAAGACATACCACCGGAACAACTTAAGGCTGAACTCAATTCGAGGAGCTTAAGTTTCGGTACACATAGCAAAAAGAAAGGTATTATAATATGTTGTAAATGACATTTTAAACATATTTAAACCCTTAATGCCTTAAAAAAATTTAAGAAATGCTCCTACAAGCTTTTTGAATTGCCCTTTAAAAATCCTTAAGACAAAAATTGCTCTAAAAAATTATTTATAATTTTCTTAAGTAATTACATTTTTTAAAAAAATTTACATTTTAAAATACAGTATATTAAACATAATATTTTGACAAGCATAATTGGAATAAAATGTGTTGGAAAGTCCAACTTAACTTCTATCCTTATTAAAAATATTTCTATGTAAAAATACAGGTAATTCAATATATTTTTAGGAGCTGTTTCCATACATACAATATAAAAAGAAAAGTAATACATTTCAAAAATTGTTCATTGCTTTGTCAAACTCATTTGTAATTTACCTAATTTTAATAAAACAAAAAGTAACTTTATTTAATTATGCTCTAAATAGTGTCAAGATGAATTTAAAACAAAAAAACTGTCTTAATAAACATTAAAATGCAACATCCATTTAAATCCGGGCCCTAGTTATAAGTATTATTTAGTGACACTTTTACGAGTTTGATCATTTTTCAAACAACATCAATGTAATAATAATTACATTACTGACAATTATTGTTAAACGTCAATTGGATTCAAAGACAAATTTGTAACGACTTAATTTTTCAAGTTAAATGTAATTTTCATAATTAAAATTTTATATTCTGAAGGTACACAAACATATTGTATAATTTAAGTATACTTACATGTGAATGTCGGCAAAATAATTTCTACTTCTCATAAAAACAATTTAAAATTTTCATGTTATTTATTACAGATGATTTATTTTTCCAGGTAAAATGAAATCCGAATCGAATTTCTTGGACTTTTTAAGAGGTGGCAATGATTCCAATACGACTGGACGCCGTTCGACAACTTATGCGGATGAGAGCGACTCGGGACACGGTTCTCCAACAAGAGAGTTGGATGACGACGAACCGTCAATAAGGAAACCAAGCTTTTGGAGAAGATTCACCATCAAAGGCGCCAAAAATAAGTGGTAGACGTCAAGTATTGAAGATTGTGTTAATTACAGCTGTGATTATTAATTAAGTTTTGGTCTTCAAAACTAAAAAACGATTTTATTCTATCCTATGTATTATACCTACGTAATTGGTGTCTTCTTTGAACCGTCATAAAATTTGTATTAGATTTTACAAATATATTTTAATAATCCTAACTTCTATTTTATTTGCTATTTAAATAAAAACGTCTAAAAATATAGTTAATTTTTGTATTATATTGTTTGCCTTATCATACACTTTATAAATTTAGATCCCTTAAAAAATATTTCTTTCAAAAACAAAATTTATCCAAACAGAGTTTGGAATCGCATCAGTTTAGAGTAAATACTTTAGTTATGATATTATGAGTTATATGACGCCTAAAAACCAAAGACTTAAAGTGTCAATTTATCTAAATTTCTTTTATTGTTGTGGTAATAATACTAAAGTTATATTAAAACGATTATATTATTTTTGAGACTAAACTGTGTACAAAGATACACAGTGATAGATACAACTGTGTACACTTGAGATATAAATTGTGTACATTTATATTATTAGTATTATATAATTGGATATAATCTTAAAAAATAGTTTTTTTTTTTTTTATAAAAAAAGGCTTGTTAATTTTCAAGTTTTTACCATTGATAGGTAAGCTAAAATACAAAAATAATTTTTGAAAAGAAATTTTTTGTGTAACTTACTAGTTAAAAAATTGCATTGACTTATTGTAAAGTAAGGTAAATATTGAAATTATAACCTAAAACATATGATATATTTGAAATAAAATCATATACTTATAAATTATTTGATTTTAACTTCAAAAAATAAAAAAATTAACTGTTGTTTAATATAATACAATAGTTCAATATTTTACAAATAAGATTGATGTATTTTGGATTTATTATGAGGATTCAATTCAATAAATGTCATTGAATTAATCTTTATCATATTTAAAAATTCAATAAATTAATGTAACACCTTAAGAGACAGTTTGAAGAATTTTTTTTGGTAAGGAAAATTGCTAAAAACTATCCAGTAGTCCAGGAGTCTATTTTGCTTCCAATATGATACATATGAACAATTTTTATTATACATAAATAAATTTACATTTAAAAAATATTGTCACATATGATCATACAATTTCTCTGAAAAAAAATTATAATTATAATAATTTTATTTATAATTTTTTTTAATAAACACTTTGAGTTACATTAACTGGTAAAATGTATTTAAAATTGATACATAACAATAATGAGAAATAAATAATTTGATATTGATAAAATTATAAAAACTCATAAGAACAATAAAAAAAACACCAAAATCCAATTTGATACACAAGTACCAGGCAAGAATTAATAAATATACAATTTAAAGTAGTCTATGAACCAAATTCTTCAGTTTCTGAATCAATTTTACTGAATTGGAACATTCCTCGACCATCCATTTGCAAGTAATACTGAAAAAAAGGAATATTAAGTGTTAATTATTATTCATTTAATAATATTATAATATAGAATAATTATTATTAAATAGCAATGTCATATCATATACAACTTAATTTTAGTTTTTAATTTATTTATTATACTTACAAGGATTGGTTAATGAAAGTTAAATATAAAAAATAATGGTCTTACATAATATGATATTTGTTTTATAACTTAAAACACTATTTTTGTGTTTTTTAATAATGTATATATTTTAATATTTAACATTTAATAACTTTAATAATTTAAATTTAAGTTAAAAATTATTTTAAGATAAAATTTGTCATTTTATTGTTGAAAAATAAATACATGAATAAATAATAANGAAAACTATCACTTAACCTGCTCATTAGGGGGGATTTAAAGTAGAAACTTTTTTTACAAAAATTAACTTTTTCAACTTAATTTTTGAAAATGTTCCGGAAATACTGCGTCCTTTAAACATATATCAAATTAAAGCTTATTTTATGTACTATAAAATGAAAAAAAAAAATTTGTCCCGACACTTTTTCTTCTACATTTAAACGGCTGCCGTAGTTAAAAAAACACTATTTTTGTGTTACAATTTTCAATTTTCGATTTTAAATTTTCAACTTAAAAATGCTATAACTTTTTGAAAAATGTATATATCAGCACAAATATTCATTTTCAAAATACATTATAAGTACATCTTTCATTTGACATACTTTTTATTAAAATTGGACAATTTCCTCTTATATAGGGTGCGTTCAAAACTTGAAATATTAAAAAAAACATAGATCTTTTTCAACTGAACTTTTGAAAATGTTCCGGAAATACTGCGTCCTTTAAAAATGTATCAAATCAAAGGTTATGTTATATACTATCAAATAAAAAAAAAAATTTGTCCCGACATCTTATCTTCTATGTGCAAATGGCTGTCGAAAATTTAAAAAAAATGTAATGTTTGCGATAAAAATTACCTTTTATCGGGATGTTTTTTGTACTTAAAACTGCCATAACTTTTTCAAAAATGAACAAATAAAAAAAATATTTTTTTGTATTGAAACCTTAGATATTCCCCTTTCACTTGATATAATTTTTTTTGAAAATCTAACACTTATTCTGCTAACTGGGGCGATTTAAAACAGTAACTTTTTTACAAAAAATAACTTTTTCAACTTAAATTTTGAAAATGTTCCGGAAATACTGCGTCCTTTAAACATATATCAAATCAAAGGTTATGTTATATACTATAAAATGAAAAAAAAAATTTGTCCCGACGACCTATGTGCAAATGGCTACCATATTCAAAAATATGCTATTTTAACAAAAATTTTTTTTTAATTAAACACTATCTACAGATTTGCATCGAAGCGTTTTTTATGATAGTGATTTTAATCACTGTCAGATATCATCTATACTAGACCCAACTATGCCACGACCCCACTCTGCCGCCACCTCACTGTACTGGGTTTTTATTTATTCAATAGATTTGTATTTAACTATTGGTAATTTTAAGTGATAAATAATATAGGTTAACATTTTTCATTAGAACATTAATACATTTCTAAATGCTATCTAAGATTAGTTCTTACATCATGATGTTTCCATAATGATTTTCGATGGCTAACGGTAAAAAGTGTTATACCACTTTCACGACAATATTGATACATTGATCCCTCTACATCTACACTGACAGCACTGGTGCATTCATCTAATATTGCAAATTGAGGTCGATGGTAAAAAAGTCTAGCCATAGCAATCCGCTGTTTTTCTCCACCAGATAATACATCTATCCAATCAGCTACTGTATCCCACCCTTCATCTCTCTGTAATAAGTAAGAGAGCTGTACTCTTTCTAAGTGCATTGCAATATCTGCATCTGATTTACCACGTCTTTGCATTTCTTCTCTAAAAAATATGTAAATAAGTAAATAATTATTACACTATATCAAATGTAATGTTCCTAATAAAATTTTTTAATAATGTTATTACAATATTATTTTTTAAAATTGCTATGATGTCCATATATAGTTCAAGAGTTATAATTACCATTTATCAAAAATTAAATAATCAGTTAATTTTGGATGTTCTTATTGTCTATTCTATTAAAAAATTTTACAGAAAAAGCAAAAACTGAGATAATTGCTCATATTAAGTGTAATAAGATTTTTATTTTAAAAATATTTTTAAAACTCTAAACTGTGTATTGCACAGTAACACAGTTATACTGGATGTTATATTCTAATCATAGTGCATAATATAATATAGTACTTATAGAGTTAACTTGTTTTTTAATTTCTTTTATTATGACTTTGATATTTAAAATCTTTAGCTAAAATCTACAATCTAAGAGCAGTAATGCTTGAAATACAATAATTAAAAATAGAATTGAAAGTATAAGCATACTTTGTATGTGGATAGATAATTTGATCTCTGAGTGTACCCAAGGTCATATATGGTTTCTGAGGAATATAAAAGAGTTTTCCTTTTGGTGGTTTTGTCAAAATACCTCCAAACATGGGCCACAGCTCACCGAGAACTCTGAATAAAGATGATTTTCCACAACCATTTGGTCCACATACTAATACATTCATACCCGATTTAACTTCAAATGATAATTCATCAATGAGAATATCTCCATTTGGGGTTACCAGTGGTACTTTTTCAAATTTAATTATATTATCCTTTGTAACAATTTTGCCAGAGTTTGGTACAAGGCTTCTTTTATTTGACATATCATTATTTGTTAACATCGTTCGAACATATTTACCATTGTTTAAATCATCAAGTACTGTCATTATTTCAGTTACTCTTGCTGTGAAACCAGCTAAACGTGTCATATCACGTCCGGCTAAAACTAGACGACCAATAGCTTCAGCTAATTTAACTAACATTCTACCCATAGTATAATAATTCTAAAAATATTTGAAATTTAATAATAATAATAACAAAATTAATTATTACAACTAATAATTATTTAAAATAAAATATTACTCTGAATCTTTCATCTTTTGAAAGTAAGGCCATAGAAGATTTACTATCAATGAAAGGTATACTAACAGCATAAAATCCAACCACGCTAGCAATATCTTAAAATAAATTTAGTAAAATCTGTATAAAATATAAAATAGAAATAAAAAAGTTAATTTAAAGTAAATATTCTTACATTTTCCTATAATATTGTCAATCACACCCATACCAACTTTAAATTCTAAAAATTTTCTCAAATGATTTGTCTAAAAAAAACAAACATTAGTTTATCATTGTTAATAAATGTAATTATTAAATAATTTATTTAATATTCTAATGTAATCAAAACTATCAATAGTTGAGTTTACATTTCAAAAGCTAATAATATATCAATAAAAATAAAGATAAGTAATAATAATTTTTAAAGATTAAATGATAGTATGAAAATGAATCCATCATGAAAATAATAATAATAATAAATATGATACATCAACATTTATTATCTGATGATATTATCTAGCTTATATGATTTTCTAAATACTTTACGCACTAATCTATTAAAAGCAGTTAATATAGTTAATTTTTCTCTATTATTGCCATTGTAAAAGGCTATTTCTTCTGAGTTAGTAATTAATCTTGAGTTAATATAGCGATACTCTCCTTCTAATTTTTGTTCTATAACAGTCATCCGACCTGTTGGCCTTCTAAGATATGTTAAAAGAGTTCCCGCAAAAACTAGATAACTTAGCATGACAGTTGGTGTCTGTAAAAAAAAAAAAAACAGTATTAATGTAGGAAGTATTTACATAAATTCTTAGAAAAAAAAGAAAATTAATTTTGTTACTTGAAAGCCTAATGTTGTTGTTAATTTATAGACATAAATTACTATGTCCAAAAATGGTTTGCAAATATTAGAATAAAGGTCAGTGAACATATCACAAAATTTATCAACATCAGCTGTTAAAAGTTGATCAGGATTAGATATTCGGGTGTCCAAATTGTTCATTTTATAATAAGTATAACCTCTACATAAAATTTGAAATTTTATTTAAAAAATTTATATTTTACATAAAAAATATTGAAAAATACCTTAAATAATCTTCAAATAAATGATTTGTTAGTCGTGTTCTAAGTCGCAATTTTAATTCTCCTATACTCCACTTCAAAACATTATTTACAATGGAAATCTAAATAATATTTAAATAAAATTGTCAAAATAATTAAAATATATATAATTCTTTTAAAACTATTAATTTGAATATATTTATTAGATCATACAAAAAAATTATAATCAATAACTTTATTTACACTAATCCATGAACAAGAATAATGTTTGTTTTAGGTAGTAAAGATATTCAAATGTTTTAAAAGAAAATAAAAATGAATTTTAAGTTAGAAGTAATAAAACCAAAAAAATTATTCAAATTTTAGTTCTATTACAATATTCCACTGGATATATTTATTACAAATTTTAATTAATAATTATCTATGTTGTATTTGGTGATGTAAAATTGTCGTAATAATCTTTTTGAAAACATTCATTTTAATTTATTTTAAATCATTGTAATTTATCAATAATAAAGATATTTTATGTTCATAATATTAAATATTCAAACAACAGTAGAATCAGATTATTGTAGAAAATTATCACCGAGAATTTCCTGTATGTGTTTTAATTAAGTATGTAATACTATCATAATAGGAACTCTTATATTTTTATACATTTTGCAAACAAAACAACACAAATTAACTTTAAAATACTAAATATAAATGTTTACATTAGTTTGTACATTCTCTTTAATCAAGATTTGTATTAAAGGATTATTACTTTTATTGTAATTAAACTACGTTTAGAGTTCTTAATAAATAGTTCAAAATAACTTAAATTAATAAAATGAAAACAATATCTTATGCTTATAAATGTTGAGTTCATTAATTTATTATATAAAATATAACATGCATATATACTTACTATTGGCATCCCAGCAAAGAAGTATATTAAACGTTTAATAAATAATTGTTGATCCATATTTACAATGGCTGTTTCAACCATTGTACCATTTTGTATCATCCATATATCACTATATGATCTAGCAACTAATGATGCAGCAACAAGAATCAGAAATCCAAATTCTGTAGACATTACTCCAGGAAAGACAATTTTTAAAATTCGCCATAGTTGTTTTAAAAAACGAGCATCAACATGTGCTTTATTTGCATTTTTTGTTGCAGCAGATTTCTACATTAATAAAAATAATATTTAAAATTGTTAACTAAAAACTTGTTATAATTAAAAATAACAATAAATCATAATTAAATATTTTTTATTTTCGAAAAAATAACCAAGTACTGATAATAGATGGTTCACGTGCACTTAATATTTTGTAGAGAAAATAAATATTGAAAATAAATCTAATCCAGATGACTTTTTCATTTTTAAGCATATATAAAAAAATAAAGAGTTCTAAAGAGAAATATATTTATTTAACTCAAAAAATTAAGTTATTGTAATACAGAAAGATAGTTAATATAAAACAGATACTTTTAAATATTTTCAAATAAAAACAGCAAGATTTATTTTATAATTACTTAGAATTATAGTATTATACCTAAAAATAATTAGTTCTTCAATCATATTTAAAATTAATAATAAAGCAATAACTTTTAATAAACATATTGAAAATGTGGCGATTAGGCCATATTTTATGTGTTTAAGTAAATAAAGGTTTTTTGAGATGACGAAAATAAATATCTCATTAAAATTAAATTTAAATAGAATTAAGATCATGATTAAATGCTAATTAAAAATGAAACTTATGAAAAGAAAAATATGATAATTAAGAAATTAAATTTGTAATTATTTCTATATACCATTCCATTATCATTCTATAGAATGTTAAAATAGATTACAATTATAATAATAGTAAAAGCCTTAATGTTATTTTTTTGTAACGAAAATTACACAAAATGTGAACACTGAACTCTATGACATAGAGTATGATTGACATGAAAATAAATAGAATCATTAATTATTTATAGGTGATTTATTTATCATGAACCACTTAATCGAAAAATAAAAAAACATTAAAATTCTTTTTATTTTCTTTTAGATACATGTTTTCTCGATGTATCAATCATTAAACATGTTTATGTTCTTCCCTTATAACTTATAAGGATTTCAGGTTTAATTTTTTCAAATAGCAACACACATAATTAATTAGTTTATTTAAGTGATAATGATTAAACTAAGAAAATTATTAGTCGACGATAACTATTGGACCACTATTGTATTTTATAGAGATGACTGGAGGCGAGATGTGGACGTTATTATTTTTATCACTATTTTCTAGGCTACACTCTTCCTCTTGATTAGGTATAAAAATTTCAATAACTTTGGTAAAAGTTGTTATGGACCAGTCATTATTTTATTTATTTGATCGTTATCTAATAAATAAGCTAATTAATGTGTGTTGCATTTTTAATATCCTTTATACCTTATAATGCATAAGTGATAAACTTCATGATTGATAAATTGAGAAAAATATTTGAATAATAGAAACCAAAAAAAATGTTCAACATATTTTTTTATTTTTCGATTAATTAAATAAGTTATGATAAATGAATAATTCTGTATTATACTTAAAATAATCAGATCAAATCACTAAGTCTATAACGATTAAAAAAAAGATTTTTCAACAAAATAATAAAATTTAATTTCATGAATGATTATTTTTGAGAAAAAAATTCTAAAATTCTAACCTATTCTTATATTAAATTTGCAGAACATCGTGGGACATACACGTGCGTGCATCAAGAAGGAAAAAAGTATTTTTATCACCAAAAACTTATTTTTGCAATTACAATTTCTTAAAGGATCCCAAAAATAAAAACTATTTACCGTGTTTTTTTTTTAAATTTATTTTACAAAAATGAAACATTCTTTTTTTAAATTTTCCTCTTTTCTTGCATTTTAAATAAGGTGAACATTTTTTTGTAACAAAAATATTCGTATGCTTATTTTACTAAAAAATTCATAGTCTATAGTGATATATTGTTATAATTTTGTTTAGTATAATGCTTCATGCTATCTATTACGAAACACTTTTAGGGTGCTAAATTATTTTTCTATTGCCCTAAAAATGTTTTTATATAATAATGAAAATAAAATTGAGTGTTTATTTTTAGATAGAAATTTTTTTTAAAACTTCAAATGATATCCCACGTGGCTAGAGATTTACAATAGTGATGAATTGACATGATACTATATTAATTTTTAAATTAATTAACAGGTTGTCATGACATATAAAGTTTAACGATAGCGGTAGTGCTAGACGCAAAAATAATTTAAATTGACACTTGATCGGACGTATTATAGATATTACCATATAACTCTATAGCAAATATGAAACTCCAAATGATTTGATACATCAATTTTTTAAATTAAGATATTAACTGTAATCATGAGCATATAAAAAGGGGGTATTACTTCTCCTAAATTTCAATTTTATTTTCGTATAAAAAATTTAAGTATTTTGATTTACTTTGCATTTACTGTCCCTCGTAAATGGGATCCGCGCTTAATTAAACTCTGGAATATTTTTTACGCGTAGAGCAATAAGAATATTAATAAACGTTTAATTATATTAAAAAAAATATATTTTATTTTTGCGACAGACATAGAATACTACATCATAGTATTAATTATACTAAAATATTAAAAAAATTAATCTAATCAAAAATTCAAAATCCAGCTAATAACCATTTAATTAATAAATAAATTATAAATTTATACATAGATCTAATTGACAACTCATATAACTTATGATCTACATAACATTTTATACTTGTTTCTTTTTTTTAATCAATTTTTACAATATAGAGCTATATTTAAAATATGTTTTATGCTATTTTTCACAATTACAAAAAATATTTTAAAAATTAATTTTTTTTAATATTTGAGGATAGCTATTTTATAGATAAGTTTTAAAGAAAAATGTTGATACCAAAAACTCTTATTTTAATTCAGTAGTTACGTGTATACAGCATTTTGAAGTTTGTTAAATTTTGATTTTTTTTACAATTTTCCTATGGTATCAAATGTTAGTTCATATCTAGGACTTTCGGTACTTCTAAATTACACATGCTATAGAATCTATAGTAAGTATTAAAAATCCTATAAATAATTACTTAAAATTGATGTATATTCTCAATTATAAATTCAGGAGTGTTTTTGAAAAAGTCATTCTCAGGACATGAAACTAATCTCTTTCATGGAGAATACATTGTTCACGAAAAACGCGCTCAAAAAAATTTTCTTTTCATCCTACTCTAAATATGTTAATGATATACAAATATTTAAAAATAAAATTCTTGTAATTTCTCTGATCCCCACTTTTATAATTTTAAAAAAAAAGATAACCCTTCATATATTGGCATAAGTCGCTCAAATTTTTGGTAATCTAAATTTGAAATTCCTCTTTTAAAAAAAACATTTATATACATATGAGATTAATGAATTAAAAAAATTAATTGGAAGTTTAAATCATTTATCCCTACGACTATGTTTTTAAATGTATCGTGTTTTGTAATGTATTTATCATCATTGGTTTAATGAAAAATAATACTGATATTTAAAAAAAAAAAATATTAAAAAGCAAATTTTCATAATATTTAATTATTATTTTTATACTAATTAAATCGTAGTAAAAAATATCTCAAAATGTTACAAGAGATCACAGAAAAAAATCAATTAAAATAAATTTGAAAAGATAAGTTTGATTTAAAATCATTTTTAAATTTTGATTTATTTTATAGATAAAAAAAATAATATGCAAATTGATTACATTTTTTGGGGGTTTTAGAAATGTATGATCTAAAATTTAAATAGTATGTAATTTTAATATTAGTATTTTTTATGGATTTACTAATATCTTTGAAAAGCCTATTTGGCAAAAGTTCCTAATTTTCAAGAAAAATGTATATTAACATTAAAAAAGTTATATATTGTTACTCATTGAAATGGAAAAAAATAAAATAAAATAAATTAAAATATAAATGTGATTTGAAATAAATTTAGAAAAAATGATAAAAAATGTACAGCTTTAAATGTAGTTATTAAAATATTAAAAGATATTATGAAAATGCTCAGCTTTTTTTAATAACAGTAAATTTTTTTCTTTAAATATTCATATATTTTATTTAAATTGTACTATATAAAATTTTTGTTATATTTAATATTAATAAAATATGGTTTATTTGGCAGTAAACTAGTTTATACACAATTTTAAGAATGAATTTAACAAATGATATAATTATTTACTAATAACAAAAAAAGAAATCAGTGAATCGTTTAATTATACTTCATGTAACTTGTAAAAAGTAATAATGATAATAAAAACAAATTAATTATAAATAAATAAGAAATTTAGTAGCAATATTATTCATAGCCTTATATTTTCAGCATACACATTGATTATATCAACTATAAACATAATATTGACATTGTATACATTTAACCTTTAAAGAATGAACTAAACACACCTAGAACAAATTATTAATGCACTAGACTCGAAGAATACATTGACATTTGACATATTAAAAATGCCAAATGAAATTAAAAGAAAATATTATAATTAAAAAAAACATTGAGTATTATAGAAATATTTCATATATATTATTTATATTTGCCTCCAAAGAATATTCATAACCTACGATTTAAATTATACACATATGGAATGATGAAAATTTAATTTTGAAACATAATGAAAATGCATCAAATACATTATATGTTTTATACTATTTTACACGTTATAGTGTCTTTATATTTAATTATATAATTTTTTTTAAATCAGAACCTAAATATTCATCACAAAAATCTACAAAAAAAATAGAATAAATTAAAAAACTAAGCCAATTACATATATTTATAAGAATGAAATTAAATGAACATTAACATTTATGTACAGTCAATTCTACTTTTTTAAATATAAATGCAAAACCAAAGAATTAATAAAAAAATAAACAATGTAACTAATTTTAATGTTTTAAAAGGCTAAGTCAACTTTTTTGATCCTTCACTCTAAAAATATAACTTTTTTATCTATGTGTTATCTTATATTTTGATATTAAAATCATTCATCCACATGGAATATTAAATTTTTCTAGATGAGATATCATGATAAACCAATTATTACTATAAATTACTCATTTAAGCATTAAAAAATATCAATTTTTAAAATAAACATTGTAATTAATACTGCAAAGCACATAAACCTTGATTTTTTATCAAAATAAGACTTGTATTAATAAGTATTTGATACTTTATTATATTAAATTAGTTATGTAGGTATCTTATTTTAGTTCAAAAGGTATTTCCCTCTAAATTAATAATGTTTGTAGTGACTTATAGTTTTTATTTCAATATATGTTATTAATAAGTCATTAAATTTAGTTTTATAAATTCTAGTAAAGTGATAATGTATATTATTATTTTTAATTATATATTTAAAAAAAAAAATTAATATTTTCAATTATCTTAGTGTAACATAACATAACTTCATTTTATTAATTTTTAAGTAATATATCAAACAAAAATATTATTTTTATTAATGTGATCACATAATAAATTATATTAAATATTTACAATTTGCATGAACGAAAATATTTTTAATTATTAAGACTTTAAAAATATTAAAAATGTATATCTTACGTCAACTATGAGGTATTTGATGTCGCTTTGAGGTAACAACCTGTTCAAATAAATATTATAAGTAATATATAATATTCAACAATATTTAAAAATACTTAATGAAATGCACATACTTTTTGGAATTTTTTTTTTTTTCATTAGCACATTTTTTTAAAAGGTACAAGATTATAGGTACTCCTGCCACAGCACCTCCAATCAGAGCGTTTTTTTTGGATATATGTTTACTCAGTGATGGAGCCATAACAATTTTTATTAAATTGTTATGGCTACAGATACTAATAATATAATAATTTTTATATTAAATGACAATTAAAGATTTCTATAAGTAAAAACAAAAAAATGAATATACGCACAAAAAAATTAGTAACTAAGCATCCCGAACTTACATGAATTCAGCTAATGCTTAAAAACAATTATCACTAAACTTGTTTATTCACTTTATTTCTTTAAAATACGAGTAAAAAGAAACTAGGTAACAAGAATACACGTTGAGTGAGTTTCCACCACTCATTTACTAAATAATTTGTTCATACTACATTCGCCTTCCTATCGTACACTTATAAAATAATTTTACCTATGGATATGTGCATGTATATGAGCAATGAATTCATTAAAAATACTAGTTACTGCCTTGTAGTTTTATCTAAAACACAATTAAGAAGTAGTTAACATTTTATCATTACAAAACTGTTGCGTTTGATAAGATAGCACTTAATATCATGGAATAAAAAACAAAATTATTAAAATATGTTGTGTATTCGCACCTCTAGAACAAGATTGTCACAATTCAAAATTTATAGTCTTAATAAAAACAAGCGCATGAAGTTTATAACTAGGATATTTTACAGATTTTTTTAGCTATGAGTTTGAAATTAAAAACTTAAAGACTCACAAACATACTGTATAGTATGACATCTTCTAATATTATGAAATATATTTCTTGCATTTACTGTAAAAGTTTAATTGAATATATTCACTTAAACCCTAAAAGTTAGACTTATGGCCTTTTATAATTTTACAAGTAAGTAAAACTGTATTATTTTGAGATGTGGCTGTATTGCATACATAAATTATTTTTAAGATAGTCATACAATAAAATATGACATTATTGAATATAAGCTATGAACATTTGTTATCCCGTAAGTCAAATTATGACAGTGTTGAATTTTAATTAATAAAGCAGTCTTGAATATCGACTTCAGTAATTAAATGAATAAATTAAATGTTTTACTGTCATAAAGTTTATATGGCTCAGTTGCTTTGAACAGTAGCTAAAAATTTAATAATTCTATAATGACAAATCTTTTTAGTGGTAAAATGAAAAATGATATTAAGGCGTCTAGGTACCGATCGTTTTTTAATCAAAAACAACCTGTTTTTCTTCCATCAGTACGATGAAACTACGACGCGATGAGAATTCTGAAAACATATCTGAATTCAGCATCATGTCACTTAGGTATCGGTCAGGCCATATTTTTGAAATTTTCATGTTTTTAACCCTTTAGTTTACATTTCGAATAATTTTAAAATTTTCAAAATAAATTTTTAAGTTGAAGGAATCACATTTTCAAAATAGCGGCCTGACTGATACCTAAGTGACATGATACTGAATTCAAATTTGTTTTCAGAATTCTTATCGTATCAGTAATTTCGTCGTACTGATGGAATAAAAACGGGTTGCTTTGTACGCTCAACTAATGGTTTTCAGACAGTAGCTGTTAAGCCGGGTGACCATTACTCGTGTATTTGACGAACATTCGTTATTTGTCTTTAATTGTCAAGCAGTGGGAATGGTGTACTTGCACGTGTGTTCGGCGTTCGTTCATCGGCATTCGTTATTCGTCATCTACCCGATGGTTGGCGGTATTTGTGACAGGAATCAAAGGGGTTATAAATATTTGTCCAAATACGCGAAAAGTGGGAACGACGGTATACTCCTCGGCTACGCTTTTTATTTTGACGAATATTCGATCAAAATCAATACTTAATTTATTTATATCAATTGTTTTAGTTAATTTAATGATTTGTTTTAATTAGTTAATTAAATAAATTTTCAATTTTATTATATTATTATACAGAGTGATTTTTTTACCGCTAGTCAATCAAGTGCCTTTAAAATAATAAGTATTTTATAAATATATTTTTTTTAATTTTGTTAGTTACAAATGTATTTCTATATACTTGTTATAAAATAATTTTTAGGATCATTACTTATACATTATACACGGGTGCCAACTTTATTATAAACTAGTTTATAATTAAGAAAACGACTGTCGATAATAACTTTTGGACCAATACTTAGGAAGTTATTAGAATTTTAAAATATAATACTGATGGCGAAGCGCAGATGCTATTTTTACATTAGTCATTCTTCGGTCACACTTCTCCTGCCACTTAGATACAAAAATTAGAATATCTTACAAAGCACTAGTCTAAAATTTGTTGTTTTAAATTACCTTAATTTAATTTAATTACATTAATTTTTTAAATTACAAATGCTAAAATCGTTTTGTATTTTATAAGTCGATTAACACAATATTCATGCTCTGCATTTATTTCAATTAATGATTTAATAATATACTGTGAATAAAAGTAACAATTTTTTATGATTTGATAATTTAACCATCACTATTTATAAGCTGAAAACAATATTTTGAGATCCACATTTTAAATAACTCACAAATTTGATCAATTGTTATCAAGCAAAATTTAACTAACACGACAATGTAAAAGTCGTAACAATGTTATTACTGGAAAGGCCAAATAATCAATAAAGATAAACAGGTATTTTTTTTTTATTTTTCTTTAATTTTAAGTAATTCTATATACGTTTTATTTAATAATAAAAATGCTTCGAGAGCTGCTATTTTTTTTCGTTTATCCATATATCTTTATAAATAAATGAATACACTATAATAATTAAAAAAAGTTTTAAAGTTAAAATTTTAAGTTAAAAAACACAACCACAATATACACTACAATATTCTCCACTGATTGTCAACACTTAACTCAATATAGAAAATACAAAATAATTTTACAAATAGACGAGTAATGGGAACCCGGCTTTTTATGTGACATGCTCGTGCGCGTATCCGCAGCAGATATTTTATTGCCCATAGAGTTGCATAGGACAATACCGACTGCCTAAAAATAGTTATAAATGCATACTTGATATTATATTTGATTATTTGCTTTTATCTTATTTGCAAAGCTATCATTGCATAGTAAGAAACAAATTTTGTTTTTGTATTGTGTCGCTAAAAAAATGGGGTCATAAAAAGATCGCTATAAAAAAAAAAATAGAGGTAATAAATTAACATAATATAAGTGGCGTCAAAAAAAAAAATCTGGTGAGGTACGTATGTATAAAAATATAGTTAAAAAAAACTAAAAGAATACGCTTTTAAAGCACATCGAACTAAAAATTTAAAAATAATTTTTAAAATAAGCTTAAAACAATAATGAACGAATAATACTAATATTATTGTGATAAATAAAAGCGTCGGGCGCTCAATATACGAAAAATATGGCACAAAGCATCCACGCTTTTATCACAATAATACTAGTATTTTTCGTTCACTATTGTTTTAAGCTAATTTTTAACCTTTTAGTTCAATGTGCTTTAAAAGCGTGTTTTTTTAAACTATATTTATTTGCTTGTGTCTATCATATCTGTACCTACTGGACTGTTATTATTCAACGATACGCCAAGAGATCAAAAAATATATCTTGTTGATGTATTTAGCATTATATTTTAATAATTTCCCTTTAAATCTGACACAATAACGTGTTTTTCTAAGTCACACACTATGTTATACTAGATCTAACACTAAGTAACTGATGTTATGGACTTCCCATAAGAACAGGCTTATAAAACTTAAATATTTTAGTATATAAATAATGTAATTTTGTAAAATGAATTCTTATAATTAAAATTAGTTTTTTTATAGTTTTATAACTTCAAAATAATCGATGTGGATCTCATATGATTTAACTTGTTTTCTGTAAATATTTAGTTTTTCTTACTCATCGAAAATAAATAGTTTAATTATTTTTATAATCAATTAAAATTTGTCAAATCATGACGCGTCTATAAGTATTTACAGTGAGGCTGATGCTAAACTATAGTTTTTATTAGTGATGGGCATAATCGAGATATATAATCGAGATATCTCGATTATGAAAATAATCGAGATATTTCGATTATTGAAATCATATCTATTATATAATCGAGATATTCTGATTTTTTAAATAATATTGATTATTCTATAATCGAGTGATTATTTCTAATGATTTCTCGTTTATTATAAAAACAATGATTTCTTGATCTTGAAATGTATATAATCGAATAAAAGTTATTTCGAATGATGTCCATGAAACGATGAAACGAGAGAATACTATTTTTAAGTTTTTATTTAGCATAAATTATAGTCGAATTATTATTAAATTGTTGACTTCGAGTCTTCTTATTTTCAACTCGTTCAATCGCTACTCATGACAACACCTTATCTGTCACATTTTTGGGAAGTATGTGACGATTAGAACAAAGTTTTGTCCTGAACTGGCTAAACTACTGAGTTCTGATTCTCTCACTAGTTGTGAATTTATGAAAAATCAATTAGGTGTGGAATCAGGTGTTTTAATTATGATGGTCAAGCCGGCTATTGCTACCTTATCTTATGTTTTTATTTTTAAATTTGTTATCGGTTTTTTTAAAATATAGGTAATAATTATTAAATAATAAAAATAACAACTTGTCTTTTATTTAAAGCACTTATTAATAATGCATTATTAATATATTATTGTTATTATTATTCCTAAATTATAGTTTAATATAATAATTATAAATAAACACCAACAAATAAAAAAAGCAAAATTAAATTAATAATTATTTACTATAGGTATATTTATTCATATTTCGAATAATTTTTCGATTCTCTCGATAAATAATAATAGTTGATTATTCTTATCATACGAGCAGACGATTTTAACTTCGAGTGATTTTTCGAGAAATTCACTCGATTATGAAAATGTCTCGATTACTAATCATTCGATTATGCCCATCACTAGTTTTTATACTAATACTAAAATAAACGTGCGTAGTTATCAATATAATCGTATTGCATCAAAAAGTAAGGCAGATACACAATTGGTTTTGTTATCGACTATAACGCGACGAAAATACTCCCAATAATGGACACTCACACTAATAATAATTTATTTCTCACACAACGACACTGCGTAACATGGAGTAACCGCAAAATTGCCTATATTCGACCCCTGAAAAAAGGTCGGTACCCAGACGCCTTAAATGTGTTTTCTTTCTATAATATAGAGTTGATATTTTGCTACCCGAAAGTGATCATAATTCAAAATTAACATATTTTGAGTTGTGTCAGTCCGTTCTAAAGGAGTGATAAATCCACAAAATGTATACTCTAGATTAATGGATTATCTATAACTATAAATACTTGACACTTAATATCTTCATTAAACAATTTCATGTATATAATATATAGTGTCCACTTAGGAAGGAAACGAATTTCTATTGTTCTCATTGTTTGTAACAACTGACCTGTTTCCTTATTTACTAACACTCTATTTAATATTTATAAACCGTTAATATATATAACGATTTATCGTATTCAAAGAAATGCTGAGAAAGTTGCGATATTATATACCAGGAAAATAACAATAGGAGCGAACAAATAAATGTATGGTTATAAGTTAGAGATAAATTCAAATGTTTTAGTCCAAAATTAGGATTAAAACGTCCATCTTTCCAACGTAATTTTCTGCAACAATTTATCTGGCAGAAATACCTCTAAAATTTTAACATGTGGTGTTCACGCAACTACAGATACAGATGTGCAGAACTGTTGCGTAGTCATTTTTTTAAGGGGCAAACAAATCTGACTGATTAAACATTTGATTAGTTAGATTATACAATGTAATTTTGTTATCATAACCCATTCAATTACTCACAGAAGAAATATAATTAAAAAACATTTTTTTTGGTCATCTTTAGTTACATATTATTCTTGAATTATCAACTATGTAATTTTTTATGATGTTACAGTCACGAAGTGTTTATTGTCAATTAAAACTATCAATAGATATACTTTCTGTATTGCCAATTAGTGTATTTATAAATTCACAACAATGTGTTTTACTACCATTGATAATAAATGCTGTGTACCAGCGAATATCGACTTCATAAAGATATAGTAACTATATCTTTAATATAACTGTTATATTAAAAATTCAAATGCCATTTAATATTAAATTAAAAACTCAAACATTTTATTAACTTCAAAATATGTGTTCTCATTTAAAAAAACAAAGTTGACACCCTACAAAGCATAAGGGATGAACTTAAAAAGGATTACATAGTTAATAATTCAAGAATAATGTGTAACTAAAGATAACTAAAAAAAAAAAATGTTTAATTATTCTTATTTTGTAAGTAATTAAATGGGTTATGATAAAAAAATGACTCTGTGTATTACAAAAATCATCAATTCAAATGCGAATACCCTCATTATGAGGAGTTAATCAAAGACGTAACCTAGAAAACTAAAACTTATATTTAAAAAAAAAAAAACAATTTTTGGGTAGCTTAATTTATTTTCCCCATCCTTATAATATATTTATTTAAAAAAATATAATTTTCTAAAATCTTGGGAAATTTTCAAACTTTAATGAGTTAACATAAAGTATTAGTTAAAAACAATTGGGCTACCTCTTACTTTTCTAATTAGAATATTGTAGAAAATATAAATTTGCATGGCTTATGTAAACGTAAGCAACTTTTTTGGAAGGAATAGCACAAAAGTAAAGTCCTCCCTATTTATTTCATACACCCGATAATACTGTTGAGATATAAACATCACCTATATCCCTATTTTTTTTTTTTTTTTTTTTTTTTTNATATAAACATCACCTATATCCCTATTTTTTTTTTTTTTTTTATATTGTATAGTAAAAGATTGCCCAAATATATTTATAATAAATTTGTAAACCGATATATGGTAAACATTTATTAAAGACTAGATTAATTTAAGTTAATCAAGCATAAAGAGGGATTACATATAAACTAAAAAAAAAATTAGTGGTTGTAACATTTGATCACCTAAACTTTGGTCAAAAGGATAAATCTCTTTCAAAAAATTGTATTGCTGAAAAAGAAAGTCGTTTCCCGGGCGAATTTTTTTCTAGTGTGCCGAATGCCCCCAAGTTCGGCTTGACAACATACTAGTGAAAACATAGAGGACAGAGAGCTTAATAATTTATAAATAGGGGGATTATAGGGTTAACCCTCCCAAAACGAAAAATATTTTTGCTTTACTACATCATCCTACGACAAAGTTGCACAAATTGGGACCCTTTAAACTGACTCAAACAAAATTTATTAATGCATATAATTCTCAGCCCCACTTATCACAAACTCTTACTGTCGCAAAAATATATAGTAATAGTTGGTCAATTTGGAGGAAATAGATGGACAGCCACCCCTCTCCTTATGTATGTCACTGTTTAATAAAAAAAGTAATGGAGTAACTTGTTTTGTAAATTTGTCTATTTAATAAACTTTCGTGAATTTTTCTTTCGAGGACTAAAAAATAATAATAATACATATTTTTCAAAATTATTATAATTGCATTTTTTCGGAAAAATTACAAAAAATTATTTATTATCATAATGTAGCTGGTAACATAAAATTACGTCTGGTAATAATATATGTAATTACAAATATTAATGTTAACATCATTTATAGAAATATTTATAAAATAGTATTATAATTATTGTTATGCTAATTCTTAACTATATATATTATATTAAATAGTTACAAAAAATAAGTTTTAAATCATTTACAACTTTATCATAATAATACAAATTCTTTAACTAAATAATGGTACAGTTTAAATGTTGGTTATCATTGATGACTTATTGAGGTCATTATATTTTACATGTAAGCATGGATAGTAATATTTTAATAGCAATATTTATTTACTATTAATTAGTATACTAAAATACTCTCTTCATTCGATTAAAAAAAAATGTTATAACATTTTTTTGTTATTTATTAAATATCATTATTTATAATATCACGTTTTAACAGTATCAATCATTTTCTATAACCTCATCCAAAAACATCGTATTTCTTTTAAAAATATATTTTAAAATAATTAAAGCAGATTGAAAATATACTTTTTTTAAATCAATGAAATTATTACTTTTATAGTTAAAGAAAAACAGTTCATTGTACAAAACGGTATCAAAACAATCGTATGCCTTCCGTGGCCTTTGGAAATAAAAGATGTTTTTTGAATTGAAAAAAAAATCAGTGTATTATAAAATTGTGAGTTTGTCAAATTGTTAAAAAAACATGTTTAGATAATTAAGAATTTGAATGCTTCACCCTTCAGTTAAAATTTTAATGCAGTTAGGTAGGATAGTGGAATAATGACCACATGATTTTAATTATTATTAACTATTTTATTATGCCGATTAAAGTTTCAACATTTTTTTAAAAACATTTTTTCAATTATGTATAGTTTAATAGTTAAATCGAGATCAATAGATTTTTTAAAAAATTGTTGAACCTTATTACAAAAAATAATCATTTGATAACTTTTTACTCAAAAATAATAATTTAAAAACTAAACAATCATTTCTCAAAATCAACTATAATTTCAATATAAAAAAATGTTTTTAATTAATGTTATCATCTTATTTTTTTTTTTGATAATAATATATATAAAATTTAAACATATAAAATTATTGTTATTAAAAAAAAAGTCAAGTTTAAATTCATTATTATGTTCAGCATACTAATAATGAATTTGTTAAATTTTTATTACACTCACAAAATAAAGATATTTTTTAAAATAATGTTTTGAACTATTTTCCTCGACACCCTTAATATACTACTATAAAAAATAGAGCACTTGATCATTATAATAAAAATCTTGATCTTATAATAAAAACATGGTTATTTAAATTTGCTTGTTAATATTTATGAAAAAAGTAATGATTTAATTGAGGCTTAATCATTTTTAATTGAAATAAATACAAATAATTTATCGATAACATTCATTAAATATTTAAATTGCAAATAATTACAAATATAGCAATAATTACTTAATACTATGTAATGCGTAATGTTTGTAACAACAAAATTCCAGTTATTTCAATAAAATATTCAAACGTATATATTTTTTCCAGATATTTTGTTTGACTAGTTTAATAAAATTTGAATTATAAAAGATAAAATATTTTTATCATGAATTATATATCTAATAAAGGTAAAAATTCAAAATATTTTTTTAGTACACTTTCATTAATATTAATCAAGTATATGAATTGTTATTATTACGGCAATCCATCTAACATAAACTAATTTATTTTTAATGAACGTATTGTTAATAACTATGAAGTATTACCTTATACGTTCATGTATTACACTTGATACAACTACGAGATGATATAATTTACATTAAATGTCTGTGTTGCCAATTTAATTTAACACCGAACATAATACTTTTATTATATTTTGACCAGTAGTTTGTATGCTTTAATTAATTATTAAAACTAACAAAACTTCTTACACTGTTATACAGTGAAAAAGAAATGCATACCATATTATGGTAAGTATTTCTTTTTAAGCAACAGTGCATGAATTTCTCTTGAGCATATAACGTCCTTTAGCTGATCCCGAATGGTTTTCTACATAATTAGGAAGTGACATTCGTCTACGTTTTACGGCTGGACTGAGATTATATTGAACCTGCAAAATAATATTAAATTATATTATTTTTGACTATTTTTCATTTAATAATTATAAGAATTAAATATGTGTTATTTTTTCTGAATTTTCAAAAATTGTGGTTTTTTGTTTATGAAAATCCAAAGTTTAACGTTTTGAGACTAATAAGACCAAATGTAATTTTTGTAATATACAATTAAAAATAAAAATATACATAAATCAAAAATTAGAACTTTTAAAATCAATCTTTTTGAAAATTTATGATTTTTAAAAATTATCATTTACTACGCCAGGTTTACGCTCTAATCGCTTTGCACAAGTTGATAAAATGATTTTTACTTCGATATTATATTATTAGTTTGGTATATAGAAACGATAAAACATTTTTTATTGAAATTAAAAGACTTTAAATCAATCACTTTGTTGATTAAAAATGGAATATTTGAATTTATCAATTTTTTATGCTCAGTAAAAAAATTACTTGTTAACGAATATGTAGAAAACGATATGGACTCAATAGCAAAATCACTCTTAAAATAAACTCCATTTTAATATTTTACGCGCTAAACTTGTAAATAATTGATAAGACTGTGCAAAAGTTTAAAAAAATTACTGATTACTTTATGATGAAATCATTAATTCACTAATATACTTTTAAAAGTGTTATGGTTTAAAACATGTAAAAAGTGATTAAAATATTACCGGTATACACATAATAGGCGTATAAAAACTAGAAAAAACTTAACCCCATAAAATATTTATGTATTATATTCGTACCTTTGCCTGAGATAAGAGTTCTTTAAATACCCCTACTATATTTCTATTATCTTTTGCCGAACATTCTACATATCCACATTCCCAGTCATACTTTGCTATTGCCTCAGTAATTTCAATTGGCAAAAATCTTTCGGAAAGTTCACATTTGTTAGCTACAATAACTATCGGTATAGTCGGTCCTCTCCTTTGTATTATCTGAAATAAGTAAAGACCGTTAACTTTTAGGGAAACTTTGTTTCATAAAACATAATCGATGAAACTTACTTGTTCTTTGAAGTGTTTAATTTGGTCCCAAGTATCTTCTCTGTCAACAGAAAATACTAAAAGAAATGCATCTGCTGTATTTATTGATAATTCTCTCATTGCTGGAAATTGGTATGCGCCCGATGTATCTAATATATCTAAAGTCAAACGGGAACCATCAGGAAGTTCGTAATCACCTGTTATAAAAATGTAGTTTAATAATTGATAAATTTTCTATGGTTGATACAATTAGTGTATTACACTTACAAAATGTATATTTTTACACAATTAACATTTGATTAATTTTATAAAATTCGTAGTCTACATTTGTACTTGACTAATATTTTAATGTTTGCATTGATTGTAAAATATAATTTGATGCTAACATTTTTACTTATTAAAATCGAAATTTTTTTTCATTTAAGCGTTGAAGTAAAATAAACTTTAAATTGGAAATAAAAATACATTATAAACATTGATAGATAAGCCTGAAATTACTCCTGTCAGATACGAAGTTAAAATAAAAAATATATCAAGCCTGTTAAAAAATTCTCTTTAAAAAACAGGTACTCTGTCTCATTGTGTTACTTTATCTACATCTTGAAACCTTTAAGCACCATTATCAATTTCAACTTGAAAAGGAAAAAAAAATCACTCCAAGCAAGGTATGGTAAATAAAGCACTTGTAAACAAACAGAAATCCTGTTGGACCAAAAATTGTTCGACGTTATGGGTCGGAGCATTGTCGTAATGCAATTTCAGAGTACATGACTTTTTAAATCCGGGTCTTTTCCTTCATAAAGCGTTTTACAAACGGTGAAAGATAGCGATATGTTATCTACTCTTTATTTATAGTCTAACCTTTTTCAGTGTACTCGTGATGGACAATTCTTTTACGATTTAAAAACACAATAATTCAATGATTATCAATACTCTTTTGGAAACATACCAGTTTCATAATTTTATTTAAATGAGCTTTAGAACGACGTCGGATCAATTTTAAAATGTTTACCTCTGTGAAGTTCTTCGATGGTCTCCTTATAACGGTTTGGAAACCGGTCGTATAAAAACTGTGTGATTATTGACGTCTTGCCCACTCTAGCTGCTCCCATCATAACAATCCGCCTTCTTATTTTCATTACTGTACTTCCACCACCTCCACTGCTGCCGTTGCTACACGTTGAATCGCCACCCATCGATGATAGTCGAATGCGCTCTTGTTGCTGACTAGGCATAATCACAGTATTTCGCTAAAATAACAATTATCGTACAATTAATAACCAATGTTGATCTTCGATAACGACTGTGTATTTTTCTATAAAACACAACTAATATTGCAAGCAATAATTCAATTTCACTGCGTATAACTTTAATAAGCTAAATATGTGTATTTACAGTCTAAACAACGAACGTATAGGTGCGATTTTATGCAGGCCCTTATTTAAGCCTTTGCCGTGGGGTGGCCACATGAATTTTGGCGTCCTCCGAATTTGTTCAGAACAAATAATATTGATGAGCAAATAAATAGCTTTTTTGCCTAGCTTTCATCGAACTTTTATGATGATGTTGTTAAAATAAAAATGATCAACACAAAACATCATAAATCGTAACTACAAACAACATTAGAATAAAACAATTTTCTGATCGTAGTTGACAAAATTAATATATTAAGCTCGTTTATATTGAGATTTGCCCCTGAGAATTTTGCGAGGGGGGTTATTGCCCCTACCAACCACTCCCTAGTTATACTTAACCGGGTTATGTAAAATTGTATTACATAAATCGCTTTACTCGAGTGTTCAACTGTTCAACTACAATATCCAAAAATCTACCAATTGTGAGTTTATGTATTTTTAATTTTTTAAATACTCAATTAACACACATTTTGTTGAGATCATCAATCTCCTTGTCAGTTATGCATACACTTGTAGAAAAAAATATGTAATTAAAATACACATTTTTTAACCTTGTGTGGAGTATTTATGCCGAGAAAGTTTCGGTATTGTAATTCGAACTCGAAAATTATATAAAACGAGAGTGGAATTAATCACGAAAACAAGTTTTGTGATAGAAACTTACGAAATATCAATTATAATAAAAATGTATTATGTAAGCTAAATAATAATTGTTCATTTTTAATTCGTCATTGAAAAAATCATATCACTAATTTAATGCTGATTCCCTTCATTTTTAAGTACATTGAATAAATTCCAGAAGTACAAAGCATAGTTTGTGTAATATTCATTGAACAAAATTAATCACAATATGCACAATGAACGTATATTGACATAGGTATTGAAATATTTGATGTCGACAAAAATAAAATTTGCGTGAAATAATTTGCGAACATTAATACTCNTTAAACGTATATTGACATAGGTATTGAAATATTTGATGTCGACAAAAATAAAATTTGCGTGAAATAATTTGCGAACATTAATACTCACAATAATTTAAAATAAAATCATTTTATCAAATACATTGTTCTAAATTTACAAATGTGTTGATGCGTTTTCAATTATAAGCCGATGATAAATATTGTCCCATTATTTGAAAATGTTTTCTGTAAGAATGAATTTATTATAATTTTTTAAGTTATTTAATAAAATTGTCAGTACATAAGTCTATTTATTTCATTATTAAATAAATTAGCTTCAATCATTATTTTAGTATTGACAGTGACTTTTTAATACAATAAAATTAAATCGATAGTTACAAAACTATTTTATTTTCGAGTGTTACAAACTTCTGGCGCACTGTAACTTAGAGCTGTCAATCTGATATAAACAGTTGTAAAAAATGACATTCAAGTTAAAATGTTAAAGTTTTCTATTTCTGACTACATTATTTGCTGTTTGGACAATAGACGGAAAATGAATATTGATAATGTTATAATGATCTGGCAATAATGCCTTTTTTCGGTCCAGTAAATTTTGCGAGTGTGAATGAAAAGCCAATGAACTTTTAACTTTCATCAAGCACTCTGTACCGTGTCATAGGTTTCAGTTCTGTACCAACGTTGAGTCGGGTCGACAGGTTGTTAATTTTTGTAAGAACTGCTCGTATATTAGGTACGATGTACTTTGTCATATTTCTTGTAGCGACTTTTATTCTTGAAACTATAGATTTTTGTTTTTTCTTTATATATATATATATATTGATTCCAAAGGGCGTAATTTAAAAACGTTTGCTTTTCAACTGAACATTACCTATATTTTTAAATGTAATATTTACTTTTAATGTATAATATTTAAAACTATTTTTGTAACGTAAGCATTGAAGATTTTTTTTTTTTTAACAAGGGCACTTTAGGGTAAATTTATCTCGAGGAATACTCAAATAATAAATTTAATAAAAGAAAACTATGTTTAGTTAAAAATAAAATTTTTATATTAAATTACAATTTATTTATAATGAAATACGTTTCAAAATACCGTAGTGCTATTTTTTAAAAGCACTAGGGTACAATATAAACAGAATACTTGACTTATACAACAGATAATAATCGAGAATCAATGAAAAAATGTTGCTCTCGAGATACAATAATATGAATATTGAAAAACGAAAGAAGATCTTATTTTACTATAAAATTCCACAGGAAATTCTATACGGCAGTTAACTACTACACATCATTCGCACAATGCCAATACACACACATGTGCATATATGTATAGTAAACGGAACATCTTGAAACGGTATTGAGTTTACTGGAGTCTATAATTTTCCTTGACAAATTATGTTTTCGCTTCGATATCAAGAGGACCTATTGAATATTATGGAATTTGTTGACATAAAAGGTAATCACACAAATACCATTCGACGTATTCTCTAGTAAATTTTTTATTATTCCCACAATGGATAAACCACATGCATTATTCTTAGTCTTTCCCAGAACTTCACGTTCGGTTAGTTGTAGTTTCGGAACACCGTCTTTTAACATTATGTAAAATCTGAAGAACGAGACAAACATTCGTTTTGCTTTTGTGTGTCACAAAAACGTGATATAGACTCATTGCATAACGGTTTATTTTTAGGGCCGTCGTTAAACATAGACGATCAAGTGAAGTTATTTCGGAAAACGTCCAAGTGAGTTAAAGTGAACTCGATTTTCTATCCCAATTGAAAAAAAATCAGTGCTTCGGTGGAAATGAATCGCCAAGTTTAAAACGTTGGAACTCAAACGTGTGTTCGTAGGTTTGTAAATCGTTACAACCCTGAGGCATCGACAGGTAGCTAATTTTTTAAGAATTATGGTGACACTTAAAGCTAGAGATAACTTTTTTCGTCACTTTTATACTATAAAATTAATTGTGTTATGATAAATAAGATATTTCGTGATATTTATACGAAAACTCAATATTTAAAACACAACTTATTAGGTGAAATGGTAAAAATAATATTTTTAACCATAAATAAATACTATAATAATAATAGAATCATAAATTCTAGTAATAAACTTTTTGAAAATTTTTCTTCGTTCCCCGTAAATGGGGGAAATCTCCAAAAAATTACAAATTTACAAAACGCTAATTTTCGAAATTTTTTTACTTAATACTACCATAACTTTTTTAAAAATGACTAAATTAATACATTTTTTATAGATGCATGATGTCTTTACCTATCATTTTGTATACATTTTTTTATAAATCTGACCTTGTGCTTGGCCTCAGGAGGTATTCAAAATAACAACTTTTTAACAAAAAATTACCTTTTATATAATTATATATCTTAAATTATAGCTTATGTTATCTATTATGAAAAAAAAAATTTCGGACTTTATTTTGTTTTCATGGTGAAAACGGACATCAAAGTTAATAAAAAAAAATACCATTTCTATAAAAAAAATTCATTTTTGTATTTGTAACTTTATAATGCTATAACTTTGTGAAAAATGTATAGATCATTATTATTTTTTTAAGATACGTACTATTTATACTCTTAGATTATGGAACATATTTTTTTTTAAATCGGACCATTTCCCTTTATATATTATAAATATATATATTTATTCATATATTAGACTTATAAATCATAAAACTTGTAATCAGAATATTAATTAGTAAATAGGAGATCATGTAGCTTTTGGGATAATCCATTAATTTTTTTAAATTGAACATTATCTTCAGATTTGCATTGAAACATTTTTTATGATAGTGATTTTAATAACTGTCAGATATCATCTATACTGAACCCAGCTATGCCACGTCCCCACTGTGCCGAATTTTTTCATTAATCTACATGTATAATATATTTTACAACTGGAATGTATATGTTTTGCCTATTTAAAAAGCCGTCACATAAAAACAAATACCAACTAGTAATATAAAAAAATTGACTATTTTAATCAGATGTTCATATTGTTAATGTTCATATTTATAGAATTTAGGTTATATATAACTACTTCCAAAATCTGTTTAAGTTTTGTCAGTAATTAAGAATTGTCATATTTTAGTTTTCAAGTCGTTAGAATATGTGTAATATATCACACGTGACATATAAAATCCTCTTTCTCCTTCAGTTGTGGATTTATGCCATATGACTAATGTATTTTTAATATAGACAGTGTTATGTCCTTACAGAAAATAGTACTAGTATTATATATTACATCGGTTTACTGAATTCAAAATACGAATAGTATTCGAAGAACCCCATTTGATCAAAGAATGGCTAAGTAATTATGACTAACTTATTTTGTCTTTTATATTTCATTGTTTATTTTGTTATTGTTATTTAAAATTAGAAGCTTTAAATAAAAATTATAGCGTTTTTATTATTTATATTACTTTTCAATATAAATTAAAGAAACGCTATAGAATTATTTTTTATAATATTTAAGAAACAGTTATTATAAAATAAAAATATGTGTTAGTTTACTGAAGCAAATTACTGTGGATATGTTATCCAAATTATTTTGATAAAAGTCGATTAGTTATCATAATTATATACTTAATTTTTGGTAGTTATAATTAAACGATTTGTTAAGAAACGTATTTTTGTCAAATAGCTTTTGCAGAGATAACAGTATTATTTGTTATTATAGTAATAAGCTTTGTATTCACAATCTGATAAATTTTAAAGTATTTTCAGTAGCCAGAACCATATACATTATACCGTCTGCAACGTTTTAATGAAATTTGTTTTATACATTAACCGCAAGATAATCTATACTAACAACAAAATAATCCTAAAAACTAGAGTTACAATAATAATTATAATTGCAATTATATTATAATTATAATATATTATATTTAAAATAGTAGTCTCATTGATGTTTTATATGGGTTTGGAACTACGGGCTAGGGGCTTAGTATATAATTAGCCTAATTTAAAATTAAGAATCAAACACAATTTGATTTTGAAATAAAGCCAATTGTGCATAATAAATTATTATTGAATATGTAATGGCAAGTTTTAAAAAAAATTGTTGAATTGTTGTGAATTATGAAATAAGAATTTATTTCATTGTAAAACTTAAACAGAAAAGTTTTGAGTGTAGAGAAAAAAACATAAAGGTAAAAATGTGTAAATTAAATGAAAAATAATAATTTTATTTAGTGTTATTTTTTAAATCTGCTGTAAAACAAATACAAATAAGCAACATTTTGACACAAGTGGTAATTCATCACAGATGGAAAGTACTTTATGTATCTAATTTATACATAATATCTATGTGTAACACTCAAAGCATTTAATCACTAGTTTGTGTACGTCATTAATCATTTTGTAAACAATATTTATATAAACCAAAATATGCAGTATTTGGCTATCACAACAGTTATGACATAAAAATACTATAAAACTTTTACTAAGTGCAGAGGCGGTAAAATATTTACTATATTTTGATGCGCGCATAAACTTTTTCAAGGTAAAAGTGAAACTTTTATAGGCGTTAAATATATTCAATTAAGGTATANCTTAAACGAATAAAAGTTAATAAGTTCAAGGTGTTACTTAAAATTTAAATATAACTAAAAACCAAAATTCTGTTCAACCAGAAAAAAAAAGACATACAGTCCACAACAAGATCTATGTGTAACACTCAAAGCATTTAATCACTAGTTTGTGTACGTCATTAATCATTTTGTAAACAATATTTATATAAACCAAAATATGCAGTATTTGGCTATCACAACAGTTATGACATAAAAATACTATAAAACTTTTACTAAGTGCAGAGGCGGTAAAATATTTACTATATTTTGATGCGCGCATAAACTTTTTCAAGGTAAAAGTGAAACTTTTATAGGCGTTAAATATATTCAATTAAGGTATAAATTTTAACGTAAAGTAATAACAATATTTTAAGTTTTATGTTACATGTACAATATTAATGATTTATTAAAGATTTTTCGTTAATTTTGAATATTTTAATATTACTACAAAAGTTTTAGAAATAAAAATTAGCAAGGGTGTTTATCATAGCTTGCACTTTTATAAAATTTGTTTGAACCACTTTGAGACACCCCATTTGTGAAAAATTATCATAAGTGTATTCCAAATTAATATTATTAGATCTAAAGAGGCAGTAANATATTTCCAAATTAATATTATTAGATCTAAAGAGGCAGTAATCCTGTTTGTGTTCTCAAAACTAAATTTCTAATTAACGTATATTGTTTAATGTTAAGCTGAACTAACATGAATATCTATAATTGATGTACTCAGGATGAATAAAATAAACTTTATAAATGCATAAATTTGCGAGGTCTAGATATTATTGTTCTTACACAATAATCATCAGTATTTCAGTAAATTATTTTTAAAAACTAAATTAATTTTATTAACTATTTAAGTAAAATTGCTATTTTAAAATTTTGAAAAAAAAATTCATTTTTTCTTCTTATTGATGGTATACAGGGTGTTCAGTAAGTCAGGAAACGGGTTTCTATTGTTCTCATTGTTACAAACAACGAGAAAAAAAATTAACCAAGTGATAAATGGACAAGAGTTACTAGATTCGTTACTAATTCTTTATAGTGAATTGAACAAAGTACACATTTTTTTAGGCTGTAAAAGGTTTTTTTACAGTAATTTATAGTGTTAAAATTACCAATTAGCTCACAGCCATATCCAGAATATTTTTTTCCATAGGGTTCCAAATATGTTGGGTTTGGTTAGGTTTATACATATTTAAAAAAAAATATTGAGGGGGATATTGAATCCAGTATACTCCTCTTGAATTGGCTATATATTATCTCGAATAGTACGAAAAAATCCATCCAGTTGTCGGAAATTATAATTAAAACAAATATTACAAAAATGTTTTACTTCCAGCTTTAAAGATAATAGACTATATTACACAGTGACGGTACTTTTAACTGATCATTTAAGTTATACGTTACACAAGTAAATATATAATCTTAAAAATGTTGTTACAACAGAAATAATTTTCAAATTTCTTAATTTCTTAATTTATACACATGTATTATGCTATGCCGCCAATAATCATCACAGTGAAATATTTTAATAATAAAGTGAAACGTCGAATTGAATTTGATGATCAATTCTTGTAAGAATTCTATATTCAATATTTGTATTTTATGTAAAAATAAATTAAAATGAAGTGCACTTGCTTTAAAATATAGATGTTAATTCAAAATTTTAACCTAGATTTTTGTTAACAAATGTATAGATTTACAATGAAATTAACTTTTTGATGTCCCATAAAAATCTCTAGATAAAATGACATAAAAAAACGAAATCCCTAGTGATTTGTCACTTTGTTTATGACAAGTTATTAATGAAAATTTAATTTCAAGTAGAGTGAAAATATTTTACACAAAGCAAAATGCCATAAAAAGTAAAAGATAAAACTCGTTTTCTAGTCTTTATTTTATTTACAAAATGACCAAAAAATATTTTCTTGACGTCTTCTTAATATGTGTCATATTTCATTTTGTAATCAGTTATAAAGTATTAATATTTTCCAAATGAAGAAGCCTATATTGTATTTTCTGAGGAAATTTTCATAAGCACACTTACCTCTATTCTGTACATCGTCGGGATTTAATCGAATGTAATTAAAAAGGAAACTAGAACGTGTGACGTTATTAACTACAGGGCGTGTGTATGCATACTAGTTGTATTTAAATCGTCCGGTTGGTGGGCGACAAATGTCGTGTAACAATATACGCCTAACTGTATTGCAAACATACATGAGTTTAGTTACATGCATAATATTTAAAACGAGCTGTGGGGCCCGCACATATTTTGATCGAAAACGATGACGTTAAAAGGAATGCAATGTCCCATTTCCGAGTTTTTAAAAAATAGATATATTTACTATATAAAACTATATAATCAGCGAAAATGGCCGAAGGACTTTGAGAAAAAAATGTATTTCTGTGAAAATTTGAAACACTAAAATTTTGGTTAGAAGTTTTTTGAAATAATAAACTAATCTAATGAGTACTAAAAAAAAACGATTCGATATCTCCGCGCTAAAAGATTTATGAGACATAAATTCTAGCAATACAATATTTTATTTTTAAAGTGCGAGTATTGGAACAGCGCAGCGTTCACGTGTTTGTTAGTATAAAAGTAACTTCATTATTTTATGGATTTCAATTTATATACGATTTATGTACAGATAGCCACAATGAATTTTAAAATGTAAAAATGTATCGTTTGTCTTCATAGAGTGCAATATCAGACATCTATAATACGTTTTGCATAAGATTAGCTCAATGGCTAGCTCATGAAGTTCACACAAATTAATGTAATTAATAGTAATAATGTTTTATACAAGCCAAAATATTTGTTGATATTTTAAAATAATATTAATAATGATATTAAAAGTTTAATTTTTTTTTTTTAGACACATTTTTTCAAATCCTTGCCCTGGAAAAAAATTTACTTTAAAAGATAATAATTTCATTTATCGATAATAGTTTTTTCTCGTTATATCATAAATTTCAGAGAATCAATAAAAAACGATTATAAGCTTAAGGATATATTCAATCTAAAGTGTGAAAACACTTTTTACAACTATGGAAATCAATCATATTATAACGATAATTTTCTAATAAAATAAAAAGAAGAAAAATAATATGTGTTAAACTTGTTTATTTAACTAATAGAGTATTATTTACTAGCAATAATTTATTTAGTATAAGTTGTATAATAATACAATTCACTAAAATTCTTTTTCTTGTTGATTATTGTGCACAAATTGATATTACTATTTGATTAGTATAAATAAACAAATTCAATAGGATACAATAAATTAAACCTTATAATAGTGTGAATGTATAAATATATTTAAATAAAATAATGATCGTTATTTTAATTATTATTATGTTTTTTACAGTTCAATTAAAATTAAGAAAACCGCATTAAACCGTAATGTTCAATAATACATAATATATAATATTTAATCTAGATTTTGTAATAATAAAGTAATATGATTTAAATTTAATAAAATTGCTCAGGCGACTTATGAACCAATACTTTTTCATCTTTTTTCTTTACAATAGTTAATTTTTTTAACGCCATATCACTAATGAATAGTGTATAAAAATAATAGAAGAGTTTGAAATTTTAGTAAACAAAATGTTAACTTAAATTTGCGGATTCGAATTCCTTTTATAATTCACATAGTAAAAAGAAATGTGGTTTCATCTGAAAAGAAAATGTTTTGGATAAATACCAAATAAACGATAAGATGGAAAAAAGCCAAGAAATAAAAGTAACATAGCACCTTTAGCTTCGTTATTTAATTCTAGTTAACCTAAAAGCCTAAATATTTGGTTCGTTTCTGGAAAAAAATATTACATTCTTAGGGCGGATGTCAAGAGAAAATAATTTAATTAAATTTATTATTTTATGGGTCATAAATAAATTTTGAAACCTCTACTATTATTAATGTTTTACACGATTGCGTTTAAGTTGAAAATAAAAAATGATCAAATTACAAAATTAACATAGATATTAAAAATAAGTTACTTTAGACTGATTGCATGGATCGTTTGGAAATATTTCCTTCTTAAACATTATATTCATATATCAATTGTACAAAATTGAAATTTCATGTACTTAAATAACAAATAATAGCCTGAAAAAAAGTAAATTTGACCAGATTAATTAACATTCATAAAACTATATTTTGAATGTAATTGACGTCCATGAGGGTAAGGGGAGGGAACATTTGGAAAATATGCGATCCTCCAACAAGGAGTTCTTTTAAAATAAGTTATGAAACAATAATACTATTACAGTACTGTTGTACCATAACAATACAGTAGTATTATTAGTATATAATATTTTTTTATTCAAAGTTGTTTTTAAATTTTTAAATATGTGTTATCGATTATTTTACATACAGAAACAATATTACTGGAACTTTTTATTTTAATATATTTTTCTCATGAAGTATATTTAAAAAAAGTATTTGATGACTAAAAAAAAAAGTTTTGTCCCCCTAGATTTTATCAGATGGGCACTAATGATGAATATATTTGATTAAAGTAAGCTTTAATATAAGGCGTCTATAATTCTAAATAGTTAAAGGAATACATAGATATATAATAAAACCTTTCATTATATATTTGTGGTGGATTCTTATTTTTGGCTAAATTATATAGTATAAAAGGTCTTAATTTTGTTAAAGTTGTACACCGCTACAAAAAAAAAGAAATTACTTTTTTAAAAAATGTTGAGTACGTTGACCTTGTAAAATATTCCGATTACAAATTCAATTTACCTTTATATTTACGATTCACAAATAAACGTTTTACGAAAACTAAGTTCTGCAATTAAAAAATTTTAATTAAAGCTTTTATTAAATTTCGTATCCAATAATTCATGCGTAATTATAATTTTTGCTAAATGTAAATTATCGTACTTTGAAAGATTATATGTTAAAAATTCCATTAAAACTATTGAAAAATCTCACTAAGAAGGTGAATAACCTGTCATGTTATATTTAAAATGATTTATTTATCATTATAATACAAATATACATTTGTTTACTAATAAAAAAAAATAACATATTCGGTATACATAAGTAAACTTGCAAAGAACATCTTTATTTATAGTTTCAGGAAACTTACAGAAACAAAATGAGAAAATTGTGTGTAATACAGATAGATTTTAGAATGTTTTATAAAACAAATTTAGAATTGTGTACAAATATATGATTATAATAATGTATTCCTACGGAGAAAATGTATTTAATTTTTTCGTTTTACTCAAAGTCGCATTCTTTATATAAAATTGGACTAACAATTCTTCTTTAAAAAATAATGCATAAGCAATGGTACCTTTTATGGATAATTTGGAGTTTTCCAGCTTTTAATAAACATAAATTCAATGAAATACTTTCTATGGCAATCCTTCAAATTATCCAAATATAAACCAAACCTCCTTTGGATGATTTTAAGTACATCTCGAACTACGAATATTAATATTCTCTTGTTGAAGTTTTATGTCAATAATTCAAAATTAAAAGTTACTTTTTAAGTACAGTTGAAAATTAAATTAAAACTAACGCACAACAACAAATTAAAATGGTAATTAATTGGGATCTTCTTGCTAAAGGTATAATGAGAAATAATCTATCTTTTAGAATATATCTACTAAGCTTTATCTTTAATAATAACACTTCTTATAAAACAACAATACAAGGTAGGATTAAATACATTAAATGGAAAATAACTAGAGTTGGGTTAAACATACATCTATCTATATATATATATATATATATGTACATATACAGAGTGGTCAGTTTGTAATCGAGTATCGAGTGGTCTATTATAATAAACCACTCGATTACTCGCAAAATAAATACAATATATAAAAAAGTTTTTTATTTGCATATATTTTTGATTATCAATTATAAGTTTCTTTTTAGAATAATCCCTTAAAACTTATAGAAGAGGTGTCTAATAGAAGAGTGTCTAGAGGTGTTCAGAATCACAATGTCGTATTAGTTTTATTGCTGTTGAGATTACTTAATATTCTAATTACAATGGATTGCTTAACAAAATACAGAAGAATTGAGTTTAAAGTAGAGTAATTAAAAACGGTATATTAGAATTATTTAATTAAATACAAATGAAAAAATATCTGATGTTAAGAATTTTTAACCATATTAAATTAAAAAAAGACATAGATAAGATTGAGTATGTTAACGAATGGGGACAGATGGTGAATTCAGTGTTTTTCAAAATAAATCACACATAGCTACACATTATTAATAGCATAAAAGCTAATTGTAGTACACTTTCTTACTTACTAGAACTAATAGTACTACTAGTATATGTGCGCGTAAGTTAATTATACTTGTGGTTAGAAATTCATGTTTAGCGTCTGATGTAATTTTTGAACAACAAAACTTTAGTTATTAGTATGCTAAGATAAATTTTTCAAATTCCTTTTATAATATTCTAAAAATACCACATAATACCTATTCATTTATAAGATTTGTTTTTTTTTTTTTTAATAGTTTTGGTTAAAAAATCGTTTTTGTCAACTTATTTCATAATTAGGGAAAGATAATAAAAATATCAATTTTATGAAACCTTTATTTTGCCCCTTAGAAGATGAAACAGACAATGGAAAAAATTCATAGTAATAGGCAAGATATAGGAGAAGTTTTCATGCCAATTTGATATTTAAAATCCATTTACAGAAGTCAGGAAAAATCATAGATGTTTAACTTCGTCATGTTACACTAGTAATAGTGATTTAATATAAACACTTGTATTAACTGAATATTTTATTATAACTGTATATATACATTAGTTATTATTTTACAATGTTTTAATATCGTAAGATAAGTAAAATTTTTCTTGAAAAAGAAGTTCATTAAAATATAAAAAATAATATTAGGAAAATATTAAACACATTTCAAGTGACTCTTGTAATATAACGTATTCTTAAATATTTGACAGTAAGAGTATTTGATTTTTCTTTTCTCTTTTGAAATCAACATAACAATTCACATTTAATTTTCTTTCGATATTTTTCACCTTTAAATAAAATATTTCAATAAATCATCAATTATAGTTGTCTATTTCGAACCTTTACTTTTACGGTTTTTATTTTTATTGTTGAAAAAATAGAAAAGAAATTATATATTTTAAAATTCATTTTTGTTATTTTTTTTAAGCTTTAATTGGATTATAGACACTACTGCAATACACGTATAAATTATAAATATATATGTAGTTTATGGTATATTGCTTTGTAGTTATAATTTATAACAAGTTCATTTATGTAAACGTAAGTATCATTTATAATGATATATTTAATGTATAATGACATCATTATTATGGTTTGAATATATTTATTTTGAATAAATAACTCATTGGTCGTCTTCACTCTAAACAATATAATGTGCTTATTATATTCTCAATAATATGAATTAGAAAATCGCAAACAAATATGAACAAAAAATGTATTCTTATTTAGAGTTTATCTGTGATTTATTAAAAAAAACTTATATAATCACAACCATCCGATTTTTCAATTTTATAAGAAAAAATTACATTTCATTTAAATGATTTAAAACAGTAATTTCTTTACTATATAAATGAATCAAAAAGAATTAAAACATTTTGACAATATTTTTTAAAATATTAATTTAAAGGTTACATAAATTGAGGTGGGGTAAAGCCCAGAACAAAATCATATATTTGTAAAAAGAAGTATAAAACAAATATGATAAGTAAATAAAAATTACTTTCATTAATTAATTAATATTGTTTTTTATGCTAGGCCTCAATCTTAAACTTAAGTAAAAATATCTCATTTGGCCTACTTTTAAGTTGGCATTACCATTATGCTTATATGTCAATTTAGTAGCAGCGCCGAACTTTTGCATGAAATAGGTATAGGTGATGCTAATATTGTTTTAGTAAGTTATAGGTAATAGATTAGTTAGCCTTTCGCAAGACCTTACACTCTTTGAGATGTATAATATAAGACATTATATTCAAGATAATTTTTTAGTTTAAAAATAAAATACATATTTTTTGATTAGCCGAGTGAGTGTTAATCCCAGTCTGGACAGAAAACATTGATTAATTTTTTTTCGTCGGTATTTCACTGATAAACAAATCAACCCTAATGAATATGAAAAAAAAGTTTAAGTAAAATAACCGTCACAACGCATCAGGATAAAAACAAATTAAAGCACGTTTTGTATATTCCATGTTACATTTAATTGCCCTATATTTATTGAATTATAAAAAGGATTACCTTATCCGAGGTAAGTTTAATAATTCGTATAAACCTTGTTTGATCGCGTGTGAGCATATTTTCCGGAGGGTGTATTGGTATGGTCGTGTGAATTTATGGACAGAACGTGACCCAAAGTTTTATCCTCAACTAGTATTAAAAGAAAATAATTTGAAATTTAACAGTATAACGAATTTATTAAAGTTATCAAACCTGAGAATGGTTGTTAATCAAGTTGTATTAAATACTCGAAAGTTACACGATAAATTTTATTTCATTTGTATTGAAATTTAAAGAAAATATTAATTAATGTTATTTAACTGTTTTAACAATTATAAATATTTTTAAACAACCTGATTGAAACATTTAGAACAATTTTCAAGAAGGTTCTTAAATAAACTAAGTTTTTAATTGAGTTTTACTGAAAATTGTATTTACACTGTTTATACAAACTTAATTGAATTTTTCTACATCACACGTTAAACCAATCTAGGGATTTCCTTAACTATATACAGAAATATTTAATGAAAAAGATTCTTTGTTGGATCGAAAAAAAATTTTCGAAAGCTCACCAATTTTAAAATAAAATAAATACAAATATATATATATATAAATATTTGGTTTTGATAAAATGTTTGGTATTTGATGGTATTTAATTATTTATAAATAAATAAATATCATTTTTATTAACTCTATAAAATATTGTAACAATTGCATAATCAAGAGTTTACCACCTAAAGGTACAAACTATAAAAAGTGGTAATTATAAAGTAAAACGATTTAGCATGAAAATTTGATGAATATGTTTTATTTAGAAATATGAAAACTCAATTTAAATATTTTTAAAGTGTGAATCAGCTATGCAACACGTGTCATATATTTGATCAACAATAATCTGGAACATATCATTGCGTAGGAGTAGTTTATCCTTCATTAATGAACAAAGATAGGATTTTCAGATAAGAATATACGATGGCATTTACTATATGAATGACATAAAAGACACTAAATGCTCGTAGGAGTAGATAGTCCTACTATTCAAGACGATTGAACGCGTCGCTAAAGGTGTATCGTATAAATCTGTCATGCCATTTAATATTGTATTTTAAGGAATTCAAAATTAATTTTTCCAGTAAAATATTCGGATTTAAGACTTATTAAAAACACTGACTATATGATAACATAGTCAGTTTTCATATAGTCTATGTTAGAATTTTAAATGATGTCATTCATTATAGTTGATAATATAAGAAATATATTAGATGTAAGAGCTTTTAACGTAATAAAATTATGATGAGCATAAGTTCACGTGTGACTGTATTCAAAAAGTGCGCCTCTTACATTTACAGGTTCGATGTTACAAATACACACATGGTTATTTATTATATTAATGAATTGTTCCTTCCAACTTTTATCCTAAATACCATGTTATAATTGTCAACGGTCACCACAGTTATGGCCACACGATACAATACACTGTCTCATGTGATAACAAGCCGGCTTGGGAGATGGGAAACGTTACGGTTATGTTTGAAAAAAAACATCATCGTCCGAGGAAGACCAAAAATGAGATGGAGGGTTGTTAATGAATGCGATTTGAGGACGGCTGATGTGTGTGTAGATGATATGAGAGATCGTGTCAAGTGGAACTTTAGAATAAGAGTGGCCGACCCCAAGTAGTTGGGATTAAGGCGAGGAAAAAGAAGATGAATAATCATCGTCATCGTAAATTCGGTATTCAAACTCTTCAATTTTTTTATGATTGTGGCGGTTCAACCAAAGATGGAGTAGCGAAATTTCATTTTAGCTTGACCATAATCATGGCACCGAATCATAAATCATCAATTTTTGGACATCTTATTGCAATATGGTGTATTATTTTTATTCCTTTTTTGTATCTTTTTATAGTGTGCAGCTTTTTATTAAATAATCTTGTGATTCTTTTTATGGTTTATTTAAACATGTGGTCTCATTTTTTACTTAGTTAATGATTATGTAGATTTTAACTATGGCTCTATATTTATGTGAAATGGTTATTTTCTCCTAATTCTGTTATTCCTTTCCCCTTTTCCATTAGCTGACAGTTCCTCGAGGTGTAGTCAGGGTGAACACGATGAACATCTCATTGGGCCTTCTACATTTATGTAGAGAATACTCATTGACGTTGGTGACATGTCCATTATACTCCGACACATGCGTTGGATCTGTCATATTCATATTTCCCCTCCCCCTATTCTAATTTTCATTTAGGATCATTGACACCTTAAATTGTTTAATAATTTTATTCAGAAAATTTTCATTAAATTATAACTGTGGTTTGGCTAAGACAAACAAAATACTGATGTACACATTTAGTTATTACGTGCATTGCTCTAATAAATTAGAAATGTTATGGCTTAAATAAAATTAAAACTATATTAAAAATATTATTTATTTAAAAACTAAAAGATATTAAACATATTAAACTCAAAAAGCCGTTACGATGCTTTAGATTTTATTCTATACATGAAAGTATAAGACTTCTAATTGGTCTAATTATATAGCTTAAAATTCAATGTCCACCTTCAAGTGTGATAATTAATAAAAAAAGAAAACAATGTATACTCTAAAAATTATTAATCCTTTAAATTTTATAAATTTTTCTAATTATAATAACACTTGATATTAATTAGAATGACATTACGCTTAACTTTCATAATCCTTTTAACCTTCTGCTCATTATTTATCCTTATATAAATAAATACCTTTCTTTTGCATAAAATTTTAGATATGAATTTTCTTACTTTATAAATAATTTATTATATTTAAAAAAACTTAGTGTATGCACTTTGCTACATAAATTATAAATTCTATTCTATTATATTAATTTAAATCTTAACTCTTTTGGTTTTATTTATTTATTGATATGTTTATTACACAATTAATTTTTAATATTTAATACATTTTAATAATTGTTATATTAAGTCAAAACTGTTAATCATAGAACATTTTTTCCCCTAGGATAAGGTACAAAATTCACATACATATATATTTTATATATATTTTTTTAATTAATTAAGAATAAATAAATGCAAATTTAAACAATACACTTGTGAAATTCATAAATTTCTATAAAATATATACATGTATGTGATAACATTTAAATAACAAAAATTGACTTTTTTAAATTTTCAAAACTATATATTATATATAGTTTTAAAAATACCAATCAATAAATTTAATGCATGTTCCTTAACATTTCTAATTAATTTTGACGTTCATATTTTATAATCATTATATTTTACAACTAAAGAAAATGTTGAAGAAATTCTAACAAAATACCATACTTAAATAGTGAATAGCAGTCATTCAAATCCTTATTTTTTTAACTCGATTAAATTTTATGACTTATATCTTAATTTCAAATAAATATTATTATTTCGAAGAAAATAGATGAAAAATGAATACATTGATATAATACGATCCTGAGGTATTTTTACTAGAAAGCTTTTAAGATTAGAGATTATTGAACAATAGTTTGTTTAGATATATTTTTGAAAAATTCGGTTTAAACTGCTATAACGATATAGAAGACAAACATTTAAAAATAATAT